GGGTGAGGCAGAGAGAGAGCCACATATGTTAATGGTTGCAGGTACTGGGGCGTAGATAATTAATGCATTAACTAATTAAAGTCAAACAGAGGAGATAACGAGGTGGAGGGAAGTATAAGGAAAAGGGGAAAGACGGCGGGATGGAGAGAGGGGAATTAGGGCGACAACAGGGGAAGAATGGGTTTGAATGTGGACAGGGAGGAGATGCGGAGAATAGAAATTGAATGGCTTGGGTGCGAACAGAGAAGTTCTGAGGCGGAAAAAAATATAAAGAGCTGAGAGAAGACAACGACAATGATGGAGAAACTTTTGATAGTTGTGCAATTCGTTTGGAAAGTTGGCATTGGACTTATAAGTCCAACATAATGCCACTCCTCTGGCAGTCTTGTCACGAGCTGCACAAATCCAGGGGCCCCGTCAATCAACAAAAGGACGTTGTTGGAAAGGAATGGAGGCTACCTGTTTGTCTTTAGGTCTAAAATCTGAACCCTGCAGACCATTGTTCCCCGTCAGACACAGAACATTAGATTATAGGTCATCATATTGCACAAGGATTCACACAAGCTTCCAAATAAATGCCCAAAGGTGCATTCGCTTACCTCACTGAAAGATCCTGCCAACAAACAATATAGTCTGTCAATGCAGGCGCTTTTTGTCTTTTAAACCATCATTTGCCCCACCAAATTAGGTCATCTCTAAGGTGTTGCTAAAAATTCCAAAGATGAGCTCATCCATCATTAAACTACTCCCACAAAGAAAACCAAGGCAAAGCAGGCTGTTCTCAAAGAGTTAGTGTATATGGGACAGGAGCTCCCCTTTTACTATTATATGAGAATTCATAGTCAAAAACATGCCAATCATTGTGGTAATGTCTTGTCCTTGAATTCATCCACTATCTTAAATTTTAAAAATCCCTGTATCTTAACCAGCTCACCCACTTACCATTATTTACCAACTCATTGCCAAACAGTGTGGTATCTGTAATGTTCATTCCTTTAGTTAGATGTGCCTGAGCTGACAGTTTTATCTTTTGGCCTATTTTCCCATCCTTTCTACAATAGATTACTATATTATACAGCAGTACACTATACAATGAGCCTTAAAGGTTTTACAAATAAAATGATAAATATGGATTCATTTGCAGTAAACAAGTGCAATCCAGTAAGAGCTTTGCCATCAAGAGAATCATGGCATTAGTTATGTTAAATTCTTTCCTTTGTTGTGACTTCATCTTTCTGTGAAGATTTATCTTATGGTCCACCAAATTACAGCTCATATTTTACAACAATTCTCAAAGAATTCACAAGTAGGTTTCACTCATTCACCATAAAAGAAACTCATATAGTCCAGTACAAAAGTCTGTAACCATTTGCCTGTATCAGGTCATAGCCAGAATCACAGATTGTCATGCAAATGTCTTTATTTGGGTTCGTTTCCACATCTCTGTACAACATGTCTGATTATTTTCAACACATCTGTGTCTGTTTTTGTGCTCTGTTTAAACACAGCATATTTCAATAACACAACACTGGGTCATTAAATGTGTTTGTGGGCATGTAGTGTTGGAAACCATACACGCAGATTTGCTGAAAATTACATGTCCATTGTCAGAGTGAAGCTGGAGCAGGGTGTGCCATTAGAGCTCCACTGAGCCTGTGTTCTAACATCCAGGGGAAAGCAATGAGAATCTCAATCCCATAATTGATTTTGATAAACTAACATGTATGGTGTGAGGAAGTCCTCTTGCATTGAGAGAAAATGGGACTGTGTCCAAAAGGCCACCCCCAAATCAGCAATGATAAAAGTGGAGCTGAAATGGGTTGTGGGGTGGAATCAAGAGAAATGAGATGCACCAAATTAGAAGAGATTGGCCTGATGGACTTGGATTAGAAGGAAAAGAGGTATATAGGGAGGGCATGACGAGAAAAAGAGGAGAGAGTGAGTCAGTGCATATGTGGAAGATGGGGAGAAATGGAGGGGAGGGGGGTCTCGGTACTTGGCAGTCTCTGGGTATCTCAGGTTCTCTCCGGCCGGGAAAGCGGTCGATATTTAATTGTTATTGCTAGCATGGAACGCACGGAAGCGGGGCCTGTACGAAAATTTCTCATTTATTTGGTATTCTTGTTTTCTCTCCCTTTCCTCCCTCCACCCGCTGCCGTCTTTGAGGGGTGAGCTGGAGGAAAGTGAGGGAAGGTGTGTATGTGTGTGTGTGCCCCCACCTGTCCAAAATGAAAAATCAGTCATTTTCATCAAACGTCCAACCAAATATTATCTACACTCCATTCCCAAAGATCGAATCTTATTTAGGAGCGACGGGATTCGCCATCTGCTTTCAAATTTCATTCCTCCATGAACTTTATTTTCCCTCGACTTTGGACAAAATTATAACCTGATCGATCCGCTTTCTGGCCACCAGCCGTCTACATATATTTTCCTTGTGCGGTCTCTTCACTGTGCAGGTCTATTTTCTGTCTCACGTCCACAGGAACACATGTAGAGCAGTATGCGGCTGATGGAAACTTAAATGCAGTCGGGTTGATGTGAGGTGGAGGTTCAGACTCAACACCTCTTTTTCCTCCCCCCTCTCAGTGTGCTCTCACCCCTCCCTGCGCCTGGATCTCTCCCCTTTGCATTCTCTCCCCTCATACCTGCCTGTGCCTCCTTGCTTCCCTTTATAAGCTTTGGTCTCTTTGCTCATGCAAACTACATCATACGAGTTTCGGAAAATAGCAGGTGGCAGTGGAGTCCATTTCCCCCCCTGTGAACTTTTTGCTGCTCCGAGGACAACTTTTCTCTCGTCCTGCGCGCTGCTTCCCATGAATTCATCCACTATCTTAAATTTTAAAAATCCCTGTATCTTAACCAGCTCACCCACTTACCATTATTTACCAACTCATTGCCAAACAGTGTGGTATCTGTAATGTTCATTCCTTTAGTTAGATGTGCCTGAGCTGACAGTTTTATCTTTTGGCCTATTTTCCCATCCTTTCTACAATAGATTACTATATTATACAGCAGTACACTATACAATGAGCCTTAAAGGTTTTACAAATAAAATGATAAATATGGATTCATTTGCAGTAAACAAGTGCAATCCAGTAAGAGCTTTGCCATCAAGAGAATCATGGCATTAGTTATGTTAAATTCTTTCCTTTGTTGTGACTTCATCTTTCTGTGAAGATTTATCTTATGGTCCACCAAATTACAGCTCATATTTTACAACAATTCTCAAAGAATTCACAAGTAGGTTTCACTCATTCACCATAAAAGAAACTCATATAGTCCAGTACAAAAGTCTGTAACCATTTGCCTGTATCAGGTCATAGCCAGAATCACAGATTGTCATGCAAATGTCTTTATTTGGGTTCGTTTCCACATCTCTGTACAACATGTCTGATTATTTTCAACACATCTGTGTCTGTTTTTGTGCTCTGTTTAAACACAGCATATTTCAATAACACAACACTGGGTCATTAAATGTGTTTGTGGGCATGTAGTGTTGGAAACCATACACGCAGATTTGCTGAAAATTACATGTCCATTGTCAGAGTGAAGCTGGAGCAGGGTGTGCCATTAGAGCTCCACTGAGCCTGTGTTCTAACATCCAGGGGAAAGCAATGAGAATCTCAATCCCATAATTGATTTTGATAAACTAACATGTATGGTGTGAGGAAGTCCTCTTGCATTGAGAGAAAATGGGACTGTGTCCAAAAGGCCACCCCCAAATCAGCAATGATAAAAGTGGAGCTGAAATGGGTTGTGGGGTGGAATCAAGAGAAATGAGATGCACCAAATTAGAAGAGATTGGCCTGATGGACTTGGATTAGAAGGAAAAGAGGTATATAGGGAGGGCATGACGAGAAAAAGAGGAGAGAGTGAGTCAGTGCATATGTGGAAGATGGGGAGAAATGGAGGGGAGGGGGGTCTCGGTACTTGGCAGTCTCTGGGTATCTCAGGTTCTCTCCGGCCGGGAAAGCGGTCGATATTTAATTGTTATTGCTAGCATGGAACGCACGGAAGCGGGGCCTGTACGAAAATTTCTCATTTATTTGGTATTCTTGTTTTCTCTCCCTTTCCTCCCTCCACCCGCTGCCGTCTTTGAGGGGTGAGCTGGAGGAAAGTGAGGGAAGGTGTGTATGTGTGTGTGTG